GACCTATACTATATTTTTCTTTTTGATTTTTTACCTGGATTACTGAGATGCATCAGGACATGTAATCAAACGCACACAAGCACCATCCCCATTATTTAACAGACAGAAAGTAAGAAGAGAGGAGGCAGAATAAAAACAAGTGTAATTTGTTTATTTTCCTTTTTTATATTTGTTTAATGTATGTAGCGTACTAGCATGCTTGTCCAAGCTAACCGCTAACATTGCTAGTCTTGCATGTAAACAAATGCGGCTTCTGTGTTGTTTATTTTACATGCAAGACTAGCAACGTTAGCGGTTAGCTCGACAAGCATGCTAGTACGAGCTAACTGCTAACGTTGCTAGTCTTGCATGTAAAATAAACAACACAGAAGCCGCATTTGTTTACAAACAAGACTAGCAATGTTAGCGGTTAGCTCGGACAAGCATGCTAGTACAAGCTAACRGCTAACMTTGCTAGTCTTGCATGTAAACAAATGCGGCTTCTGTGTTGTTTACTTTACTTTACGTCAGACGTACTTGTAGTGCTATATAGTGATAGTTAAAATATGTTTTAACACTGTGCACTCAAAATACCTCGTAGAGCACTATTATTGTACGTTTTATTGTTGCAGAGAAAAATAATACAAAGATGTTTGAAACTGGAACGCTATCAGCTCGGAACTGACGTCAGTCCGGCTTCAGGGTTTCGAGTTGCGATACAACTGGAACGCAGAGTAAGTGTTTGATGGAAACTTTGGTACCAGACGTGATGAAAACAGCAGAACATCCGTCAGCTTTAAATTAGGGGTGTAAGAAAATATCGATACACTGAAATATCGCGATATTTCATTTCCCGATACTGTATCGATATTCTAAAGCCCTGTGTCGATTTTTAATTAAGGTTTAAAATGTCAACCTTCTTGCCACCCGTTCATTTTTTTATGTTGTAGTTCAGCCTCTGACCACTAGTTGGCAGCAGTGAGCCAGACATTTGGCTCCTCTACCTGTTGAGCACCAGAGAGTAAGTATAGTATTAGCATTGTGAGTAAACATTAGCTTTTCCTTTTTTTTTTCAGTAAGATGTTTTTATTTAATAGAATTTTTGGACAAAAAAAATCGCAATATATCGCCTAGCTTACAGTATCGCAATATATCGGGATATATCGTATCGTGACCCCTCTGTTATGATATGTATCGTATCGCCAAATTCTTGCCAATACACAGGCCTACTTTAAATCAGCCACGATGCAAACTAAACTTCACACATTCCTCATGTCTGGTTACATTTTCTGAGTTTCGCACAAGTAGAAACAACAAAAAGTGTTTTTTACTCAATAAATTAAACAAGAATCATCAGACTTTTTTAAAAGAATTCATTGTTTTTTTCTGTTTTCTCTCTCTGAGCACCGTCCTGAGAGTAAATATGAAACATTCCTCTCCAACTGATTCGTCTTTATTTCCTCTCAAACGGCCTTTTTTTCCTTAAAGAGTGGGCTCTTTGTTCCAGCTGTGATGATCTGACATAAAGGAGGCAGCGCCGTGACGGAGCGCTCCTCGTCATAAGACCGGCCGCAGGACCGAAGAACTCTAAAAACCCTTATATGTCTCATGACCTTTGACCTTTCAGTCCACTCAAATAAATAAATAAATAAATAAATAAATAAATAAATAAATAAACAAACACCAGGATAAGAGCTGAAGGCAGAGCAGTTTCTAACCGTCACCACATGAGGAAAAACTGGTTTTAAAATGGCTCTGTGTGAAACGTCACCTGCAGTCCTACCTGGATGACATCATCGCTCTAAGGTGTGGTTACTGTAACAGATCATGGTTTGAATAAAAACTGCCCACAGTCTGAGCTGCTAACTGAACTTATCTGTGCAAACACACAGAGACAAGAAGAAAATAATACGATTTTAACTAGAATATCTATTATCAGCTCAGTGTCTGAAACAAATAAAACACTGTTCAAATAAATAAAACACTGTTCAAATAAATAAAACTGAAACTACATCCTCAATATTGGAAATGTCAGGACATAAAATCAAAATAAAACCTGAATTAAATTAATCTTATAAAAAGATAAAAGCCATGTTTAAAAAAAAAGATAATTTTGAATTTGTCTCAACTGTTTCACAGGTTGTGTAAAAAACTAATGGTTTTTTTGCTTCAAATGTAAAAAAAGGAGCAACAAGTGGATCCAGAGTCAGAAACCGTCTGCAGAAGCTTCAGCTGAAAGTTGCTGGTTTGAAACCTCAGYCTCTATTTTTAACTCAACAGAACTTTTTCACTCTTTCTTTCCTGGAGGAAGGAGGTGCGGAAATACCAAAGACCCTCTGGGACCTGTTGACCCCCCTCAGACCAGATCAGAGGAGTCCTGCAGGACTCAGCCTCACTCTGAGGCTTTATTTATGAAGATGATTATAATAACTATATTTATTATAATAAATCTGTTTATTATAATAAATCTGTTTATTACAATAAAGTAATTCTGACAGAAGTCAGTGAGTCTGAGATGTTTTGGATGAATGAGTGAAGCAGTGAAGAAGTGAATGAGTGAAGAAGAGAAGAAGTGAAGAAGAGAAGAAGWGAAGCAGTGAAGAAGTGAATGAGTGAAGAAGAGAAGAAGTGAAGAAGAGAAGAAGWGAAGCAGTGAAGAAGTGAATGAGTGAAGAAGAGAAGAAGTGAAGAAGTGAATGAGTGAAGAAGAGAAGAAGTGAAGCAGTGAGGGGTTTCTGACCTCAGTGAAGAAGTTGTCCATCCTGTCCTCCTGGCTGGATGACGTCACAGGCCTGGCTGCACGCGCAGCACAGACAGGTGTTGTTTGTCTGACTCCAGGTAAAAACAACACCTGATGCCGGTTCCCGCGGCCTCAGGGCTTCATCCTCCTGCTGCTGCTGGGGGTCCCTGCGGGGCTTCAGGATGGAGGAAACTCACTCTTTGTCTCGTGGGTTCTTCATCCGGAGGAGACGGAGCTGGGCTCGGAGCCTCGTCCCTCCTCCGCGGCTCGGCCTCCTCAGTCCGCGGAGCTCCGCTTCCTTCCTTCTTTGTTTGTTTGTTTGTTTGTTTACTTGTTTGTTTTTCAGGGAAACAGAGAAAAGTTGCAGGAGGTGAAGAAGCGAGACGCCGGTGAAACTTTGGAGACGCTCAGAAACTCACTCACACACCGGGTGGACAATGATCCTGAAGCTCCGCCCCTCTCCGACATGAAGCCCCGCCCCTCTTCATTCTGCTCCTCCTCCTGCCTCACTGACTCCTCCTGCTGTCAACACGTGCACAAGAAGCTGCAGAAACACGATAACCTCTGTCCACAGCTGGATCCTCTGTCTAAYCTATGGCAAGCCCATGTATCATATAATCACAACACCGGAGCTTCACAACTCAAACCTTCTACCATTTTAAAAATATAGCATTTTATTTGTAATAAATAAATAAATAAGTAAATAAATAAATCTGATCTAAAAATAGTCTTCTGAAAAATGTTTTATTTTTAAATGAAATGGTTCACAGTCCAAACATTTTTAGTTTTGAAATGTGAAAAGCCTTTAAATGTACCGCTAATGTCATTTTGAATTGTTTAATTAAAACGGCCTTATTCAATATTTATTAAAATATGAGTATAATTAACATTTAATCATAACAACATCAATTAAATGAAGCTGTTGTCAATAATAAAAATGGATCAAGTGTTTCCTCCTTCATCTGCTAAATAAATTTAAAGTCAAAATATCTCTTTGTTTCTTTCTTTTTGTTGTTTTGTTTATTGGTTAAATGAAAACACCAGTGAAAAACCTAAAACGATAAGAATAAAACATGAAGAAATTATGATCTGAAAACACAAAAGACTCCTAACAAACCTGAACAGGTCACTTTTAAACCTTTAAATGGTTTATGTTTACATAACAGATGAGAAATGTTTTAAGGAAACAGGAAWTGTTGGTGTTTATCTTGTCTCTGCTCACCTGTCTGCACAGACTCACCTGCCATCAGAAGAAGCTCCGCCCACCTTTAAAAACCCTCTGATTGTAGCTCCGCCTCCTGACCTCTGGGGTCAAGGACTCAGGAGCTGATTTGAAGAAGAAGACTGATAGGTCACATCTGCAGGTTTTACCCTGAGAAAAACTAAATAAAAAAAACATCTATAATAAAAACAAACTACTTTAATCCCAACATTTACCTCTGCAGGCTGTAAGAAAARTATAAAACTCTTTTATTTCTTGTGTTTTAGGAGTTCTGTCGCTGATAAAACACTCAAATTAATCAGAGCGTTTCACAGAGCGAACAAGTTTAAATCAGATTAAATTGAGTCCAGTTCTYTGAAATAACAGGATGAGGAAGACAAACATTTCCCGCAGCTTTTTTAAACTCGTTTTTGAAGATTTGAGATAAAAAAGACCAAATTTTTTCTGTCAGTTCTGCAGCCAAAACACATTCTTCCTGTTTATTCTATAAATAAGACGTTAAATCAAAGGAAAACAGAATGAAAATCTAAAAGTGATACGAATATAAAATACAAAATGTGGAGATTTTTTTAAATTTAACCCTAGCTCCTTTTTTCTTTCCTTTTAGCTCCTGAATCAAACATCCCCTCAGAAAAATGACATCTTAATAATTATTAACACTTTGTCACAAGCTTTTAAAGTGAAGCAGCTTTTTTAAAATGTTTTAAAAATGAACTTAAATCTGCTGCGACCATCTTCAGGAAGTCCCCTCACAAGAAGCGTCTGAGGGTCTTTTTAACGAAGGAAAAGAAAAGAAAATCTGCACCAAAATGAGTTTTATCAATACACAGTGAGAAATAAGAATATAAAATATAAATATATATATTTAAACTCCTTTCTTTCAGCTTTTAGAAATAAAAAAACTGGTTAAAGCTCATTAATTCTGCGACCTAAAGGTTATTTAAACTTCCTGCTGGTTTGTTTGAGTGAACTGACCCTTTAAACTTCTTATCATGTTTGTTGTCCTGAAGGCTCAGCAGAACAAACTGATCTGGACCAGATCCACATCTACTTCCTGTCATAATTAACCCTGTTTTCTGTTTTATTTTGTAGAACCCTTCTACTTCCGGTTTGACATATCTTTTTGATTATCAGTTTTTCTGCAGCTTCTTTTCTTTAGTTATTATTAGTATCAGTATATTTTAGTTATTCTGAATCTGACCGGCTGCTGCTCTTCTTTCAGSCTCCTTCATCACAACTTCCGGTGACAGGAGCAACTTCCTGCCAACACTGCCACCTGCTGTTGCAGAGAGGAACTGCARGTGGTGTTGATTTTCTGTTTTTGTAGACAACTTTGGATGAAGTCATCATCAGACACCCTCTGAGCTGAAATCATCCAGGTGCACTGCACAGGTGAAGCATCTTAAACAGACAAAAATAAAAATAAAAATAAACACCTGAAGGGTTTTTCTGCAGGCGCCTTTAATAAGAAGCGCAGTTTTTTTTCCCTCAGATTTGACATCTTGAAGGTTTGAAATGTTCAACAGGTGCAGCTGACCAACAAGTTCCTCACACAACATCAGATCTGTGCGTGCGCGCGTGTGTGCGTGCGCGCAGTGAGCAGCAGGGGGCGCGCCAAGGCAACAACTGATGGAAACAGGAGGATGTTCAGAACGTGCACGGAGGAAACGTGCGTTTCCAGCAGGTCTGAGGAAATGTTTTAGCACAAATATAAATAATAATAATAATAATAATAAATCCCCCACCAGAGGACCTCGTGCTTGAAAAGAAACTGAGAGAATTCTGTTCTGATGATTAAAAATCTGTAAAATATAAATTACAAACATTTCAAAATAAAACTCAAAGCGCCTCTTCCTCAATAAAACCAGATTARTGGTGAAAAATATTTCAACTCCTCCTCCTGACGGGTTCCTGATTGTTGCTTGTGCACAATGCTGGCGCGCGCACGCCCCAGTGCATGCGTGTGTGCGCGCGGAGGAGCAGGCAGAAGCCGCGGAGCGCGCGCAGGGGGAGCCGCAGACCGACACTCAGCCGCCGCTTCAGGAGCTTCAGTCCGCACGGTAAGAGGCTCCGCGGAGCTCCGTCCTCCAGGCTCCCTGCGGCTCCGGGAGCCTGGAGGACCTGATGGACGTTCTGAGGACAATCTCATGTCTTTTGTCCCTTTCTGTCTCTGTCTCTGTCTCTGTCTCTGTCTCTTGTCTCCGTGGCGCGCGGCGCGCAGCCTGGAGGCAGAATAACTGGAGCATCAGGAGGATTTGAAAGAATCAGTGTAAAAGAAAAGGGTTGAAACTGGTGTTTGCTTGAAATGAAGTTTTATTTGCTCTTTATTTGTGTAAAATGTGCACGAGCTGAGAAAGGGGTGTGTTCAGTCGGTGCAGCACGCGCTCAGAGATTCTGCTGCTCCTGCGTTTATTTGAGGGGAAAACGCGCTTTTCTTTAAATTGATGCTTTTTTGCTGTGTTTATTGGTCAGCTCGGTGTGTTAGATGTGTTTTAATACATTTCTACAGGCTGTTGGAGGTGCGGGGGGATGGGGGGGTCTTTACACCAGGGGTGTCGCTAGGTTTTAAGGACAAGGGGGCTTAGCCCCCTGGAGACGCACAGAATATTTGTAAATTAAATGTGTGTGTGTGTGTGTGTGTGTGTGTGTGTGTGTGTGTGTGT